TCATTCACTACCACATTTTCTTCTTCGTCGTATTATATTGAATCATGCGTTATCTTGCGGAAGTCCATTGGTATAACTATTTAACTACAAAATCTAACAACTTCTACACCCAGTCGTTATCTGATATCTGTACCCAGTAGACCTCTGTGCATCGTCCATACACAAATTAATATACAAAATATGCAATTCGTATATATGAAATCAAAACAATAGCGGAATATTTTATAGGATATTTTTTCTACCTAATGCATCAAGAAACTATTTGTAATTAATGTTATTATTTAATTTTGTTTAAAAATAAAAAAGTTAGACCATTTTACAACATAGAACAATTCACAATCCCACAATACACACTTCACAGAATACATAAAAACATTAGAAGTTACATTCATAAAACTCGCATCAGCTCGTCGCGTTCGCGATAGCACCCGTGTGAAATTATGTGGGACTCATCTCCGTAGGTCCATTTTGCGTATGTTGGACCTCAGAAACCTACTAAAACCCCACAGTGTACCCTCATCTAGGGTATAAGACCCAAGTAGCGGTATCCGCGTCACCGTGCCACTCATTCCCCTAACGGATACGCTTTGTCGAACTACACAAATGCTATACTATGTATATATTTGTGTGTGTTCTATTCTACTAGAGACGTGAAAGGTCACTTTGTTATATGCTGATACATACTCAATCAGTCTAGAATATGTTTCTCTCGGCCAAAGATGAGCTAAGTAACATAAAAAACATCTGAACTACAAAACTTATAAAGAATACTCTGAACTTCATGTAAAAATTTGATTAATATAAATAAAAACCAATTTTTTTACCGTCATAGTTCTTAAATGGAACAATGGCAAAAGACACTTATTTAATATAGTAGGATATTACTTGACATAGTTAATAGACTTTAATTTTTCCCTTTTCACAATATAGCGTCTAATTGAGGCCATATCTTACACAATCTCAAGATTAAGCCTAAACTCAAGACTAACCCTAAGAATCGTTAAAATCGATAAATGCATTTTGCCTCTAGATTACCTCGACTAGACAAACATACTTCCATCCCATCCACATACTCCTTTTCGTCACAGTCAGATAAAAAGGATTCTCATGTTGACAAAGTTAATCAAAATTAATTCTTCATTAAAATAATAATACGACGACAAATGACCATCTAGTTCTTATCATACACGCTTATGGTTTCATCTACAGCATGTAGAATCATTTTTATTAAATCCTTCTTTGTTTCTTGTAGAACCCGGATCAGCTCCACGGAATGTGCAAGTCCGACCTCTCAGCTCAAGCACCATGGTTATTCAATGGGACGAGCCTGAAACACCAAATGGACAAGTGACGGTATATCATCAAGGAATAATATACAAATAAGTGGCAAAAGTCGTGGTCTTAAAAATGACAGGCGTATTTTGGTTTCAATAATTTAAATAACTAGAAAACAAATTTATTAATCAAGCTTTTGAAGTGGAGCAAGAATTCTAAGCATTGTTTCATATATTTTTTAGTTATTTATTAAATTACTTGAGCGCCTGGTTTCACAATAAATTTCATGAATTAGTCTTTATTAAACTTTCAAACTTTCGCGTTGCATTATATTAGATTGTATGAAACGGGTATTAACGTGATAGAATTCGAGTCAGCCAGTGATCACGGCCGGTGTAACCCGGTGAAAATCCTAACTATCGATTCTATCGCGTTAATACCCGCTTCATATAATCTAATAGTCTTTATTGAGTTATTTTTTGTATTTTTGCTGGTAACCATTATTATAATTTCGCGAATGCGTTAATTTATTTCTGCTCTCATGGAAGAATATATAGATATTTTATTTCTTTTTACGTTTACAGGGATACAAAATCTACTATACAACTGATCCGTCGCAACCATTGCAATCATGGCAATCACAAATGGTAAGAAATACTTCTACAGCACGAGATCCCGCTGCTTAAATCTGCAAAGGGGGCTTTCATACAACAATCGTGTTTTTTTGCTGTCTTTCTGTGAACCTGGATAGATAGTTCAGATTTTCACATATGATATATTTCTGTTGCTGCTGTAACAACAAATACTGAAAAATAGTTTTAAATTTATATTTAAGGGGCTCCCATACAATAAACGTGACCTTTTTGCTCGTTTTCGGTACGGAACCCTTCGTGCGCAAGTCTGACTCGTATTTGCCCGGTTTTTAATGTAGATAAAAGAATAAACTTAATTTGATATATAATTCAATCGAAAAACATGGTAGTGTAAATAATCAGATATTACCTGTTTACACCTGGCAACCCTACACCTACGGCTAACTGAGATCTGGCAACTCATTCAGGCAGATCATTCTTTCAAATGATGTGGGGTTCACTAAAAAAAATATGACGGCAATTTACCAACAAAACGGAAATTAAAAATTATTGCAGCTAAATTTTGCCTGGTGGCTAATTAAAAATTAAACTAAAAAGTATTCCATCCAAACTGTGGGGTTTTTACTCTGATTTACTTAGATCTATTATTTAAAAGTTTCATAAAAAGACAGGTAACTGGAGATTCAAGCAGCGGAATCTTAGACTACTAGGAGTCTTAATGTAAACTTTCTTAGAAATCATATTTTGATAGTTTTCACTCATTATTACCACTACAAGAAGTCGAAATTATACAAGGTGAAAATTTTCTTTAATAATATTAACAACAAAGTCCCGTGCACTGGACCTGTCCCGTGTGTCGTCCAGTCCGTCCAATTCAACGATTTCAATAAAAATAACCACCCTGTCAGAGTGGAAACGTTGGTATATAATACGAACGTTAACTTTAATCTTCCCTTTCTACATCGATGTCCTCTTTCTATCCCTTTCTATCTTTCACTTCTCTTCATTAGTAGTCTTCTACTATTTTCTCTCCTTATCTGAAGTCTTTACCAGAATCTTGAGAAATCCAGGTCACCGTCCCATGGATTAGAGAGCATACCGTGCTAATGTGTAACATATCTGTATTTCTTACATTTCTCTTATTATAAAACGGATACAAAATTAATACCTGGTTCAAACCATCAGTTGCTTAAATCAAATTGACAATGACAGAAGAGAAACCTCAAATTGAGACTTATTGATTTTGACCGAATAATGGTTAAAACTTTGTGCTAAAGTTAGTTTTCATTTTATATTAAGATGGTATGAATAAACGTTTCTTAAAAAAAACTATTGATTGTCAACTATTAGATGGACAACAGCCATTTAACTACCATCAGCGAGCTGACCCCACATACAGTTTACACGATACGTGTGCAAGCGTACACGTCCGTGGGCCCGGGACCTATCTCGGCGCCGGTGCAAGTTAAAACACAGCAAGGTAAGATTTTCACATCTCTTTTGCATAACATTGAATTATTTCAGTTCCAAACGCTCGTTTAAAGTTCCCTAAAGTACGTTTTAACACTTGGCCGAAAGCAGTAACTTTTACGATTGTAGCAGCTGAAAGGAGTTTCAACATACGATTTTCGGAATTTGACTCGCAGTATAATAATGAATTAGAGTTTTTTAAGTTCTTGATTTCATCAGAATAATACACTGGACATAGTTATAAAATTTATAACACAGGAAAGTTAGCTCACGGCTGATAATTTACAACGTTTAAATACGAATCTTTATAAGGAAATAATAAATTGCTAAGAACATAACTTAAAGCCAGATTGATAAATTCGTATTTTTTCCAAGAAAGATTCTTAAAGAGAGGAAAAAGGCATTTAATGGCAGTTAGTAATAAAATGTAAAGGAAAAAATGATATACTAACAAAATTACATTGTACACTGCTTACCTAAATAAATTTAAGTGCATATCTAATACGTATAAATTGTATACTCTTTTAAAATTGTAAGGAATTGTTCTCTTGTAACATTGTAAACCCTTGTTCTATCTCAATGTATTAAATCTAAAGGTACCGAAATTAAAATATGCGTAGATTTTACTTCACCATTATTTTATACGGATAATGTAACATAACCAACCGCCAAGACCCTTTCCATTTACTGTTTACTCAACTGCCGATCCTCAGAGCCACAATAGCGAACAGACAGAACTACAATCTCCTAACATATTCATATATTTAGTCTAAATTAGAATGAACACATAATGATTTATTAATAATAAATTGAATTTATTATAATAATAACAGACCAATGAAATTGAGCGACAGGTCCGCACTCTGCGTGCCTTGTAGTACAAAACTGTATTGCCCTGTCGGAATAATTGAAATAGTATTAATGCAGAGTAGCTCCTGCTATGATCACCTATTTACAATTCAATTGAACTCTACCGCAACATATAAATCCGAAAAAGTATTTTGTGTGCAATTTTTTTTTGTGTAATTTCTATGGTCAATGAAAAAATACTTTTCAGATACAACGACTTAAAAAACGGTTTTATTTAATACTTTTTTATAAAAAAATTGTTTAAAGACAATGCATTGGAAACAATTTAAAAAAATACAAAGGTTTAGTTTAGTTAAGCGTAATTCTGCTAATTTTAGCGTAATTATCAAAACTCAATAGCTCTTTAATTACAATTCTTTATGACATAGTTCTAATAACAAAATCATAAAAATAACAACATCTGTCACGCTTCATTTCCGAGGAAGACATAGCACTAATAATAATGGACTTCAGGTAGATAGTACAAAGGCATAATGACAGTCTTTGAGACTCGTTTGAGATCGTTCAAAAGTAAAGAACATCTAAAACTTAAAACTTATATCTAAAAATACGTGAAAAAAATAGGTTAATACTATCTTTAGAATCCGTTGAGGAGTTGTTTTATCAATTATTCACATTGTTGTTTGTAACGTATCTCTGTTATTACGTTCCCACCAAAGAAGCTCTGCACATGTTTGGTATTGAATAATTAGTGTGAAACTAATGGTTACTTATTCACAACCAACTTCTGTAACAAACAACATCGTTTTCACTTCAATGTGTTCTATTTTAATCGGATTAATATCCACTAAGATTGCAAAGTGTAAGACATGAAGATTCATCTGCGATGCGTCACCAAATTTAACCTAATTTCCATCTTCATTTGCGTTTCAATGTTTATCAAAAAGTTTATGTTAACATTTAAAGTGGCATTGAAATACGTAGATCAGTGTTTTTGTAATCCTCAAAAGAGTTTTGTGACTTAGCGAGGTGACATGGTTCTTTGTGCATTGACCAAAAAGCACAAACAACCATGCCCCCGCTAGGCAAGATTAGTGTCTAAGAGTTTGTAGTGTCTAAGATATAGATTAATTTTTCCTTGTTTCAACAGGCGTGCCCTCTCAGCCATCGAACCTTGTAGCGGTGGAAGCAGGTGAAACGTCAGTGACGCTAACGTGGAGACGTCCAGCTCATGCTGGAGATAATATAGTTTCTTATGAGCTTTATTGGAATGACACATATGCAAAGGAGAACCATAGGAAGTAAGTTATCGATCATAATAACCGTTTTCTTTTCTTATTTCTTTACAATAATAGTGTAAACATATTATGAATGACAATAAACTAATGATTATAATACTATTCTATGTTTTACTATTCTATGGAATTATTTGCAATTTAGAAAGTTGAGTTTACGAATACTTACGAGAATACTACAAAATTCCTCCATAGTAAGTACCTAATTTAAAATAAAAGAACGGAAAATAATAAATAGTAAAATTCCTAATAGACGGATACCCATAACGGAAACGTACACGCTCAATGGATTGTACCCCAACACTCTGTACTACATCTGGTTGGCGGCACGATCGCAACGAGGGGAGGGAGCGACGACCCCGCCGATTGCCGTCCGCACCAAGCAGTACGGTATGTGGAAGGATAACCGGGTTCCTATAGGGGATAGCATGGGATCCCTCAAGTACACTACAGCAGTAGAACCACAAAACGCAGATGTTAGCTAACGATAAAATAAGCCTTAACAATCAGTGAATGCTGCAACAAAATGAATGCTGGTTCTACTGTACTTGCAAGGGATACCCAAGGTGCTAATGGGGGACATCAATGTTCTGCAGAGGCTATCTTTGACTGTGGCTTCGAGTGAAAGACGTGCGGAGGGAGCTTTGGCAGATAAAAATTAAATATATGACATTATTAAATTTGTAAAATTATTTAGATTCATAATATCTATTTAGTACATTTGTAGGGACCACCAATGAGATCAAAAGTTTTAAGATTTTTTTACAAAAATCATAACTTTGGTAACTATAACTAAACAACTTATATTGCTTATTCATTTCTTCTTTCTATTTCCACTACTTCCACTACTTTAACATTAACAGGAATATTCTTTCTTTTTAAAACTTTGTTGTTGGCCTAAACACAAATTTAAATTATATACAGCGTATTCGAAGAAATTTCAAAGTGTCTAGATACTTAAGCTAAGAAATTTTAACACTCCAACACTCGAGCACTCCAAATTAATTTCACTAACGTTTACGAGGTCGCTCAATTATTCGCATCAAAGCGACTCGTAAAATCGTTTAACTGAATTTGATTATTTCGAAACTTATGCCAAAGCTCCTTCCCCGATCGCCGCTTGTGAGTGTGGAAGTATGAAACCTTTACCGGTCCACAGGTAACTCGTACTGTAATATTTCACATAAGAGCACCTGCCCGGCACGCCGCCAGTAAAACAGCACAAAGCACCAAGTTTTATATATATATCACAATATGTGTTTGTAATCGTAAATTTGTCGAAACGGTAAAGTGTGCGCAACGCAATCAAATTCCGAACATGTAGATCGGGACATTTTCGAAGCGAATCTTGATACAGAATGCGCACACCGTGCCTTAGTAGTAGCTTTATGTTGTTCGTAGGACAGTTTTAAATTTGAAGATGGACGGATAAACCCGTTCTTTTTAACCAATGCCAACGACACGAAGAAGGTCGAGGTTTTCATTGAATTTCATTCCGATATCATTTTTCACGGGTCACTAAGCTTCGGGTAAACACTAACTCGGAAATCACAACTCAGACATCGCATACAACTTCGTATCGTTTGCTTTGAACATAATCACAATTTTGTTCCAACAGGAGAAAGTGTGACAGATGAAACATAGAGATGTATGGGCGAGCGGATCCTACGTTTACACCACACAACGTGCATGCAATTTGTTTCCGACGGCTCGCGAGCAGCCGTTCGTTTACACTTTTGTTTTAAAGCACATTTTTTTTTGTTTATATCGCATTCAGTGATTGCGTCAGTGAGGTCGGTAATGGGACGTGATGGAACGTCCATTTGAGTTGCAGGTCGCCGGATCGAATCCCGATCCGTGCTGACCCTCATGTGTGAGCTTGTTTAGTACCAGGAGCACCGCCGATGAACGTGACTGCGACGGCTATATCGCCCACCGCGATCCGGGTGTCGTGGCAGCCTCCGCCGGCGGAGCGCGCTAACGGCCGGATCGCGTATTACAAGCTGCTTTGCGTGGAGTCTGGACGTGGTGATTCTGAGGCCACTGTTGTGAAACTGAATCAGACCTCGTTTGTGCTGGATGAGCTCCGTCGCTGGACTGAGTACAGAATATGGGTGCTAGCTGGCACCAGCGTGGGCGATGGTCCCGCTTCATACCCTGTCACCGTTCGCACGCATGAAGACGGTACGTGTCATCCATTGGTTGCTAATCCGATAACAATTACATTTAGTCTCAATTCTATGATCGTTTACTTATTTTAACTGATGAAATAGTTGTTAAGTTAAGAATATTCTTGTATATGAAGATCGATATCTATCTGATAGCTGGCCATTAATATTATATACCAAGATAATTGGAATTCTAAAGGACATAAAATATCACGACTTTAAACCTCTTAAATACTTATTGCAGATTGCAATTTTGTTAGTAGGATATAAGTTTTTGATTACCATGAAAATCAATAATTATATCATAATTATAGTTCTATAAATTTAATAACTGTTCACAAACGACAATTAAAATTAAACTGCTTTTGGACGATTTTATCACGTGTAATTTTGAAAAAAAAAATAATATTTTTTCAGACGTTTCGGGTCTTTGACAGGTTCCGTATTCACTTAGACGTGAACCAAAGGATCCGAAACTTCTCAAAAAATGGAATATTTTTTCAAAAAATCACGCGACTCTATTTTAAAGTAGTTTTATTTAATGGGTAGTGCGCGTGAAAGTATAAGAAACAAGTAGATCATAAAATTGAGAATAACCACTGCATTAACCATATTATCTACAAATAAATGAAATAATTACATAATTTTAGAAACATTGATAGTTTTCTTTATGTGAGATCAGAAGGCCTTATATTATGGTATTTTAATAATTTTTTCTGTTCATTACGTAATATACATAAACTTCTGATGTTACATAATTTTGTAAGGAATATGTACTAATTGAAATTCCACACATTTATTAATGATTGCATAAAACTCTTGGATTGGTAAAAAACTGGTAACTCTCGAATGGAATCATTCAAATTATCATCACAAAAATAAAATTCATTAATACCAATGATAAATGGCGAAAATCACGTTGATGGCTCAACATGAATGATTTCATAATACATATTGAACCTCAGTCAAAATTGAAAGCATTGTATCCATGAATGGCCACTTCTCCTGTCTTTATTGCATTGATAGCAAATTGTTTCAATATTGACTGAAGTATATTGGAACTAACTGATGTTTTTACTTGTATCTTTATACGGTGGTGGGCTCTCAAACTGGTCATAACTCCGTACTAATTTATGAATGTATTCACAATATTATATTTCAACATCCTAAGCGCTAATTACTTCCAAGTTACTAATGTAATTTTTTTCTTTTGTTCCCTTTTATGAGCATATAGCAGGATTCTAATGAAGGAGGTTAATTCTCGTAACAAAGTATTCTTTGCTTGCTGACAAATTTTAATGTAATATATTTATCATGTCACTATTTTATTTTTCACTGTATTATGCCGCTTACAAGAAGCGGCGTAAAATTTACATTTCCACTCACTGTCACATGTAATGATTTCTTTTAATGATCTTCGTCAACGGTCTTATAATCGCTAAGATGGCACTCACTGAAATGCAAAATTTATTATGCACCTGGTTATAGTGTCAACGGCACCTGTTGTTTATTGATTTTGGCGCACAGTTGTTGAGTATTTAGCAATCGACACAATTTTGCATGCTTTCTTTACCGACACAGCACCGTTTTTCGTTCAGTTTATTTCACTGAGCACCAGTTAGGTTCACGTCTCGTGGTGCGCAATCAACAGCTTTTTTATTGCTAAATACTTGCTTTGCCAGCTGTTGATTTGCGTAAAACGATGACAGCACTTTTAGGAAGCACTCAGCACATCTAGCAACTACACGTGGTGAGAGAGCGAGTGCGTGACACAACAGCTATAACCGTTTGGGCTACTCACACACGAGCCTTACTCTGTCGCGTGTACTATTACTCGTATATATCATGACACTCGTCCTACAGCGCACGCGTTGAGCTTGTTCACTCGGTTATACAGCTCAGATCCTACATGCACCATGGCCCGAGCGCCGCATTTGAATACCAATGCCGTCTCCACACGACACGCGCGCATGCTATACTATATACTACTCACAACTACTTCTCTACTCACTATACTCTCTAACTACTATTATCTACCTATTAGGGGGAAGGCTGTCGAAGTCCCGAGGATCCGACTAAATTCTAAACTTACCCAATTGGTCCACTCAAGGATCCGACGGATAAAGGTCCACGACGCACTTCGCCTGTATACCCCGTCTGCTCGGCTCGGTTACTAGACTACGCGCTAACTCTATCTTTATATCTATCTCTCTCTCTATCTCACTTGCTCTATGCTACAAGTACTTGCCAGTAGCCATTTCACTTCTTGCCTTTCTTCTTTCTTCTGTACTCTATCAAACTTTCGTCGTGCATGCACACTAGATATTGTGACATATACAGAATACTGGTATGGCTAACGTTCGCTATCGCCGTTAACAAAGAAAGAGCAGGACTCAAAAGAACGCTACGAGACAATCTGGCACCAATCAATCCTGTTAAGTACTCGCCGGTTTTGTATCCAACAATTTTGTTGAAGACCACTACGAAGAGCAATGACACTCTGACACAGTCACAAACATCACTGAAGACAACACAGGTACGAGGTCTCTATTACACACATGGAACGAAGTGCGGCGCACATTGACAAGAAGTACGTACACAACGAAGCACACACACAGACTGGCGCCGTCGCGTTAATCAATACATGTGCGTGTGAGTGACTTCTATGCACCGAGGGACAAAGAATTTGTTTGCGTTATTCCTTTTTCTGTTCACTTAACACACAATTTCTGTCTAACCTACTTCACAACTTACTTAAATACATTCAGTCAGAGATATTTCGTCCTTCTCAAAAAAAATAAGTCTAATTTTACGCTTGCTCTCTGTGAACAGAGAAAGGCAATGCACGTGAACACAAACTGACGTCGGCGTCCCAAGCGGCTTAACCCAAATGCGCCTCCTAAAGAGCTCAAAATACACGAGGAAGTAAAATAAGAGTACCCCCATTTTGCCGACAAGCGTTCTACTCGTAATCTCTCACTTAGTAGTTCCGTTCGCCCTGCAATGTTTGCACAATTTGTCTTAAATGTATTTGAATGCGTTTTTCTCTTTTTTCTCTCGTCACTGACTTTGTATGGGCCGCTGGTAATCCCCACAGCCATAAGGAGTGAGTATAAATTACTATAGTGCTTGTTTTATGTGCATTTGTGCTTGTGCCTAAGCTTGATGTAGTTAACTCTTCCTAGTGTTAAACCAAATGAATTCTAAACAAACTGCAAGTGATACATCAGGTATGTCTTTTAGACAGTACTAAGACTTGGTGTGTTTTACCCTGTTAAACGTATGTGATGATATTCCCAAGTCTTAACGTATGGCATGATCCCTTGCAGAGTGTGTCTAAATAATAGACCTATAGTTTATGCTGCTTTCTAATTAATTGTCAATAATATATAGACTAATATTTACTAAATGTTGATTTTTTATAAACGCTTGACAATTTAGTTGTTCTATACATTGTGGATTGGAAGGTAATGGATTTTAATTGGTTTTGGTGATGTGAAAGAGCGTAAATGATAATGTCTCAGTGTGTGTTGGTATTCAAATGCCCGATCGAGATGCTGAGAGGCGTGTGCTGACACTCGCCTGCGACCGAAGTACTCTATCAGCATTACCGATGGCGTTTACCGACCGCACGTTTACTCGTTCACGATTGCAACGCTTACCGAAATCCTCTGATGCGGATGCTTTATTCCCGTTAATAGGCCCTGAGATTACGCTTAAGGTAGATTTTTTTCTCTAGCACGCTCCCGTAGATGCTGATAGGGCATTAGGTCGATATGAATACGGTTCTGGTACAAAAACTAATATTTCCTATATGCTCACAGTGCCTGGTGAACCCCAAGATGTGAAGGTTAATCCAATCAACTCGACGTCCATACATGTGACGTGGAAACCACCACAAGAGAAAGAAAAGAATGGAATCATCAGAGGTTACCATGTTCATGTTCAAGAAGTTAGAGAAGAGGTATTTTGTCTGTCAATATTCTAACTTCGTATTTGTCACTATTTAGTTAATAGTTAGTAGAGTTTAATTTAATGTTTAGTTCATGAGTTTTATAATTTTTTAGGGCAAAGGTCTACTTAACGACCCCATGCGGTTCAACGTTATGGATGACACTACACTTGAGTTAAATGTATCCGGGTTACAACCTGACACAAGATACAATGTGCAAGTGGCTGCTCTGACGCGGAAGGGAGACGGTGACCGAAGTGCGCCAGTGTCTGTAAAAACACCTGGCGGTGTGCCAAACCGGCCTACCGTTACCTTAAAGTAAGTAAACATTAGCTATTCAAATTGCGAGAAAGCCTCTTGCTACAAATTACTGGAACCCGGCATAAAAGGGTCTGCTAAAAACCATTGAATACAATTTGTTTCCGTTTATATTTGCCGACGCCATTTTAACATACTCTATTTTCTTGTAGGGTTTTGGAACGTGAACCAATAGTATCAATTGAATTAGAATGGGCGAGGCCAACTCAGACATATGGAGATTTGCTAGGGTATAGATTAAGATATGGTATCAAAGATCAGCCATTAGATGAAGAAAATTTCCCAATTAAAGTCAATTCACATAGGATAAATGATCTAGAAAGAGGTGTTCAGTATGAATTCCGTGTAGCTGGTAAAAATCACATTGGCATTGGTCAAGAAACAATTAAGTATTGGCTTACTCCTGAGGGAGCACCTAAAGGACCTCCGACAAACGTGACATATCATTTTCAAACACCCGATATTATTAGTGTTACTTGGGAACCGCCAATTAGGGCTGATCGAAGTGGTCAAATTAAGAAATATGACGTCCAGTTTTATAAAAGAGGTGACCAATCATCTCTTATAGAGCAAACTACAGAACAAACTAAAGTTGTTTTTACAGGCCTTGAAGAAGATGCTCATTATGTGTTCAAAGTCAGAGCATACACAGATCAAGGACCTGGACCCTATAGTAAAGACATAACCGCTCACACTGAAAGGGATATTGGTAGAGCTCCTATGTCCGTTAAGGCCGTTGCTACATCTGAATCTGGCGTCGAGGTATGGTGGGAAACATTCAGAACAAGGAAGAAGATTATTGGTTATGTCATATTTTATACTATGACACCGGTTGAAGATTTGGATGAATGGCAACAAAAAAGTGTCCATGTAACACATTCCGCTGACTTAGAAAACTTGGAGAAATTTGCTGAATATGCTATCGCAGTAGCTGCAAAAACTGCAGATGGGCTCGGTAGACTTTCTGAAAAAGTTACAGTTAAAGTAAGACCAGAAGAAGTGCCTTTACACTTGAGGGCTCAAGATGTATCAACCCATTCTATGACGCTCTCGTGGGCACCTCCATTACGCTTAAACCCCGTTAGCTATAAGATATCATATAATGCTATCAAAGAATTTGTCGATTCTCTTGGTATGACGCAAACACAGGAAATTTCGAAAAAAGAAATTGTTGTAAAGAACGACAGAACATCTTATTCGATTAATGATTTATCTCCGTTTACAACATATAATGTTAATGTCAGTGCCATCCCAAATGACGATTCTTACAGACCCCCAACTAAAATAACTGTAACAACACAAATGGCAGCCCCAAAACCTATGGTTAAACCTGATTTCTACGGTGTAGTAGAAAATGAGATATTGGTTATCCTCCCTCAAGCTTCCGAAGAATATGGACCTATTTCACATTATTATTTAGTTGTAGTTCCAGATGATAAAGCACATAATCATATGATGCCTGATCAGTTCCTAACCGATGATTTAATAAAAAACAACGCAAGAACCGATGATGAAAACGCTCCTTACATTGCTGCCAAATTCTTACAACGAAATATTTTGTATACTTTTCATTTAGGAAACGATGAAACTTATGAAGGATTTCTAAATAGAAAACTAAACCCGACTAAGAGATATCGTGTTTTCGTAAGAGCCGTTGTGGATACACCTCAAAAACATCTTTATACGTCGAGTCCATTTTCGGAATACCTGTCTTTAGACATGCGTGAAGCACCACCTGGTGAAGAACCAAGTCGTCCTGACCCTAACCTTACTTTAGACCCAGAAATCACGAAAAAAATACACGACACTAGCGAAGCCGGAATGGTTTGGATTATTGGGCCTATAATTGCTGCGTTAATGCTTTCAATGTGCTTAGTGCTTGTTTTTATTATGAGAAGAAAAAGACAACCTTGTAAAACCCCTGACCAAGCTGCTGTGACGCGTCCTTTAATGTCCGCTGACATCGGATTTGGTGCACCATCCGATCCCGTAGAAATGAGACGATTAAATTTCCAAACGCCGGCTATGATTTCCCATCCACCTATTCCTATATCCGAGCTCGGTGAACATATCGAAAGGCTAAAAGCTAATGATAATCTGAAATTCTCTCAAGAATACGAAAGTATAGAACCTGGACAGCAGTTTACGTGGGACCATTCAAATATGGAAGTTAATAAACCTAAAAATCGCTATGCAAATGTCATTGCTTATGACCATAGTCGTGTTATTCTTCAACCGATCGACGGAATACTCGGCAGTGATTACATAAATGCTAACTATTGCGATGGGTACCGAAAACATAATGCTTATGTTGCTACCCAAGGCCCTCTTCAAGAAACGTTCATTGACTTTTGGCGAATGTGCTGGGAGCTGCGAACGTCTACAATTGTGATGATGACTAAATTGGAAGAACGAACAAGAATAAAATGTGATCAATACTGGCCTAGCCGCGGTAGCGAAACGTACGGTATGATGACAGTAACCATCGCAGAAGTACAGGAACTTGCCACGTACTGCATTCGTACTTTCCAAGTAACCAGAAACGGTGCTGCTGAACGTCGGGAAATCAAACAGTTGCAATTCACCGCTTGGCCCGACCATGGTGTTCCTGATCATCCAGCACCCTTCTTGCAATTCCTAAGGAGAGTTCGTGCTCTCAATCCTCCAGATGCAGGTCCGTTGGTTGTACATTGTTCTGCTGGAGTCGGCCGCACTGGATGTTTCATCGTCATTGATTCTATGCTAGAGCGTGCTAGACATGAACGCACTGTCGACATATATGGGCACGTTACTTGTCTACGTGCCCAACGAAACTATATGGTTCAAACGGAAGACCAGTACATATTCATCCATGATGCTCTTTTAGAAGCTGTAGTTTGTGGTGACACCGAAGTGCCAGCTCGGAACCTGCAATCGCACATCCAGAAACTAATGCGTGTGGACCCTATGGAGAATATTACCGGAATGGAACTAGAATTTAAAAAGCTCGCCAACATGAAAGCTGACTCTAGCCGATTTGTATCTGCCAGCTTGCCTTGTAATAAACACAAAAACAGATTAGTGCATATCTTGCCATTTGAATCTACCCGCGTTTGTTTGACGCCGCGAGACGGGTCGGATTACATCAACGCTTCGTTTGTGGATGGATACAGATACAGGGCGGCATATATTGCAACACAGGGCCCATTACCAGATACTACTGATGACTTCTGGAAAATGCTTTGGGAACATAACTCTACAATAATTGTTATGTTGACGAAATTAAAGGAAATGGGAAGGGTGAGTAACATTCTATTACAATCAAAATACTTATTTTTTAAAGTTTTTTTCCTAACTTACAATAACTTTTCAGGAGAAATGCCACCAATACTGGCCTTCGGATCGTTCTGTGCGATACCAATGCTTCGTTGTAGACCCTATTGCTGAATATAATATGCCACAGTATATCTTGAGGGAATTCAAGGTAATTAATTAATAACCAACTTTATAAATTAAATATTCCCAATATTTATCTATTCTATATTTCATTAACACTGTCCTATATACCAGGTCACCGATGCTCGCGATGGGGCATCCAGAACGGTTCGTCAGTTCCAATTCACAGACTGGCCAGAGCAAGGGGTACCGAAGAACAGTGAGGGTTTCATCGACTTCCTAGGACAAGTGCACAAGACCAAGGAACAATTCGGACAAGACGGCCCCATAACGGTTCATTGCAGGTATTTTGAACAAACCGGGTCCTCATTAAGAATACCGAGTTCTTTCATACGCCTGAAGTGAACCACAGCCGGACTTAATAGGTTTACTTTGTGTTAGTTTGCATCGAATAGGCCCTGAAACGACATGACCGATTAAAGTAAATTCATATACAGGAAGCTACCACCATACAGGTGACATCGGCTATAATTTACGTGGGCGTAATTCTGAGGGCAACTGAAATAATTTGTTCACAGAGCTCTGTGGGCAAGTGGTCATCGCGCGGTTTTGATATTTTGTATCTCATTTGAAATAAATCAGTGATCTCTAGCCTAAGCAAATGTATGGTCACTAATTCTTACGGAATATGAAATAACAGTTTATCGATACAGCATCAAGTGTCTACATGGAGTTCAGTGGAGATCACTGATTGATATTTCAAAATTGCGAACCATCGATGATTGATTTTGACACATAAGAATTGTTTACTTCTATCGGTGATTGCGACTTTACATTCGAATACAGCTGCAGAACCCCAACCCTTACGGTAGTTAACATTACATACCAATGGCAAATTTATCGGATATTGTATTTTGTTTATTTGTAATAGTAAATATCAGAAATAAGGATTCTCCTCTGACCTGGGGCCCTTCTAGCTGGAGACTCGTGGCGTTTTGCCCTCTTGTCACCATGTTTTTACGCCACTGTCACTTGATGGACATTTGTGCGTGATTTTATACAGCGCGGGTGTGGGTCGTACGGGCGTGTTCATCACTCTGTCCACGGTGTTGGAGCGTATGCAGTACGAGGGTGTCGTCGACGTGTTCCAAACGGTGCGCACTCTACGCACCCAGCGTCCCGCCATGGTGCAGACAGAGGTGAGAGCAATGTTCTAAGTTCAAAATGCGCTTAAACATTTTTTGTTTAATAACGAACCGCTGATATATATTCGCAGCAAACAATAATGTTCGTCAGTTTAGAATGTAGCTCTTAGTTAGTTTTTATGCAAACTGATAAGTGAATGTAAAAAAAATCGATGGAGAATTGACTAAAAAAATGCATATAGTGCTTTTTAAAAGTCCTGAATCTATTAAAAAAGTTTTAACGTGCTTGGAAAGTGAACCCATCGGTTGTCAACTTAACTTTTACATCAAAATTTACATCGATTGATTATTTAAAAGAAACTAAAAATAATCTATTTATTAGCTTGTCTCAAGACTACAAACAATAAATATTTTTGATAGAATAAGCAATAATATTTTATTAGTATAAAATTATATCTTAATATACAAGGGCGTCGCTGAAGGGGAACAGGAAGGGCAGCTCCCCCTCCCCTAGAGATTCTAAAAATCCTAATGTAAAGCAACCAAAGTCCTAAGTTTTTAACTTCACTTGCTTGATTGACCACGTATATTGAAACTCAAATGTACTTAGCAATTATATTCCTACACTAAACTATGCTCTGCCCTATGATATTGTTAAAGTGGGAGAAAGGGAGTGCTGTACATTCAAATCCCCAAATTATTTTATTTTATTTTTCTAATAAATGTAATTATTTATTTACAATTTTTATTTATTCTACAGTCAGGAACTCGTGTAACTTTACAGGTCATACTTAGCTCATTCTCCATAATCATTGCCTTCTTCCCCGTGTGCCATCCACTGGCGACGCCCCTGTTAATATACTTACTATCATGATATTTTCATCATAACACTCATAATTTAACTTTCTTTGTAAGAAAAACAATTTGGTTGTTTGAATCTAGGTACATAGGTAATAATATAATTTGCTAAGTAAATACATTATATTTTTGTGTATGTCTTGATTCCTGAATTATTAGACTTGATATTTTTTTCTCAACACAGCATCTATTTTAAATCTTACGTAGTATACATAAGAACTCTATTTCTCTAGGACCAGTACGAATTCTGCTACCGCGCAGCGCTGGAGTACCTCGGCTCGTTCGACCACTACGCCAACTGACGCTGAGATAGGCTCGTGTAACATGAAATATGTACTTAACGTACCCACAAAATCACATATTGTAAGCAGATGTTAGTCGGCAGCACGGGTGTTATTATATTCAATAGTGGTCCATAAAGAATAGATTTATTTTTAACTTTTTATATATTAGGCGAAGAAATACTGAGTTATAAGGTCTTAGTTATCTTTAAAAAAAATAATGAAATAATCATTTATAAATTTTAACTTGTGAAAGACTAAAAGCTTTGTATAGAAGAAAATACTTCTTAGAGACTGCAGAAAATAATATAATTATAAATATTGTAATTGTTTAATGTTTATTTATTATTTCTTGACATGTGACTTTATAAAGTGCAATAAACAATCTTTGCAGCTAATGTTTACATACATGTAGTCTGGTAACTAATTGAGTTGTGTTAGAAATAGTGTCTCATTCGGTTAAAAATGTAAAATTTTTGATCCGTTAGTTTTATATTAGGTTTACCTATTACCTTCCAACTTAATAGGTTTACCTCATAGCTCGATGATGCCATATTTAGGAATAATTGGGAACACTTGATTTTATCCCATTTTTTAAAGGTAATAAATCGATTAAAAATAATAACACCGTGCTTGCTATCGATCTGTCGATCCAGTCATCCATCAAACTACCGCATTGCTTGTAGCATAGCAACGATTTATTAAAACGGTAATTCGTCTCGAATAAATCCAGATTTACAATGATTCATCCGAATTACGGTTTTTACAATCTTGTTCTATGCTTTAATTGTAATATTAGCGTTCGTTGACTGATGTATTGCGCTGCACATCTATATCTGTTTATAATAATTACACAAAAAAGGCTAAAACATGTACGAGTGCCTAGCAACGCTACTTATGATAACTAATATATTTACGAGTGACCACTAATAAAAATCATGATTGTGAGTCGGAAGGGTAATTAATGTAAACAATTAATGATTATCCTAATATCTAACTAATGATAGATGTTGATGCTGTTCGTACTATTTTTGTCTCTAAATTGGAACAGATAAAGTCCATGTTAACAGTTGAAAGTATACTTTAGATGCATTTAAAATATTGCAACAGAGTTTCGTAATATAATATTTAAAAAAATGCTATTTAAATTTATAAAAAAAAAGTAATTTAGAGAGTGAAAACAGTGCGCTTAGAGACTTAAATATTAACGTGGTATGTATCCAATTCTTATCGTCACGATATATACATACATATAATAAAATGTATAAATAGTTATTGCAGCTGTAATTAGAAGTTTATTTTTCATATCGGGTGTTAAAAATATGTTAAGTAGTGTACATTGTGGTAACTTTCATTATTGCAATATTATTAAATATACTCTTAGACGAATCGGCTGTGTCGTGTGAAATTATGTGTCAGTCCTGTGCATTGTAGGTGCGTAAATATTGTGTAAATAGTTTTATTTTTTTCACCAAATAATTTTTAAAGAGTCCTTTCCTACTAGGATATTTCCCATCCGGTGTACCGGCTATTATTTTTCATTTACAGGTGATTTTTTGTTACTTATATTTCTAACAGCTGTCTACTAATTTAGTATCACTTGCTTGCTTATAGGATGATCGTGATTTAATGACATATCTATTTGTAGGTAGAAAAAATATTTATGTCGAAGTGGAACGGTAATGTTTGAATTAGAAAGAATTTGGTCAAGGAATATAAGGCATACATCCTAACTAAATGACGAATAAATGGATGCGATTCTAAACATGGATTTGTGACATCGCGGTGTAATATAAATAACACCCAATAAGTTTTCATTATGCTTTACGTTGGCATCAACTATACTATTTTGTTAATAATAAGGCACCCTTGGATAACACGAAACGTGACTATCGCTACTCTATCATTAAGCTATATTTAAGTGTAGTATGTTATTTAATCTTTTACAGTAATCCCCTTGCCTAGTAAAATGTAAGATTTTTAGGTTTTTCACTCGTTTTATACAATATACCTAATACTTGTATCGATCTAACTACGTATAAGTTAAATTTGAGCTTGTATGTAAATTAGGTAATTAATACGAGGAAGATATTGCGGTAGACACGCAACCATATGTAAAATGAACACGATTCCTATTTAAAAAAAAAAAGTTTACTATATACATCTCGATTCGGTCCCATTTAGACCGTTCATAACTGCCAATCGTTTCTCTTAATACTAATTGAAATAAAATTATTATATTAAATAAACAATACGAAACGTACGTAGAATTTAATGAGAGTAATTGTTAAATTGAGGTTATAGTGAAAATTTAATACTCGTTGATCATATTTAGCGAGAGTCTGTATGGAACATTTACGAAGTCAAAGGAACGAATAGCTGGTTGTTTCGTGCAGCTGTATCGTGTTGCTTAAACAGGCTTTATTTTTACACCATTCCTTATTGTGTTTTTATTTATGATTATTCTTAGTATTTTGTTGTAATGATAGCGTTAATACGTAATTTGCCGCTGAAATAGTTATCTAATACTGTTTTATTCCTGAACGCACATCACCGATCTCTCACATTTAGGCTAAAGCATTATTTTATTCAGCTTTCATTATAACATATATTGTACATTGAGTATCCATATTTACGTTGAACACATATTTTTATAGTGCATTTATTCCATGATATATACAAAGGTGCTGTATATTCCAAAATAGTACAAAGGTTTTTGTTTGTCTCTTTTAATCAATCATCATAGATATTTTTGTGTGCGTTTGGTTTTGTAAACTAACCAGTCATCCAATTGTTGCGTTTTGTTGAACGTAAAAGACTGAATTACTAATTTGTCTGTGTTTTAATCTACTTTAATTCTTAATAGGTTGTTAAATCAATTAGTTATTATCTGTGTCGTCATTTGTAATATTTTTTTGCTAAGAAAATTTGTGATTAGTTGTGTCAGTAAGTGTTACTTAACAGTAACTGAATTATAATTGTACAGCTAATAATTATAAGTTGGTACCACTATGAAATATTTTGTTGACATTATGCGATTAATATCCTTTTTATCAATGGAAAACAAAACCAGACATATTTTAAAATTATTCCATCTGATTAAGGTTGTATATTGAATGAGTACAATTAGCATTTAATTTTCCAACAGTAACCCAGTGAAAAAACGCCATTTCCGTTGTGCTTTTAGCTATTTATTGTTAGACACACTTGAGCTAAATTCGTTATAATTAAGAATGTTTGTATACTTTATTCACAAGAAATGATAAGATTAAAAAAAATCTACGGGATCACATGTCATTGTAATAATAAATTAAAACACCGAAACGTGTTTTGGATCTGCAATATGAATTAATATAAACACTTTTTTATTTGGTTTAGGTACTTGTGAATAAGGTTAATGAAAAAAAAGATACGGTCATGTAAATGCTCATCGTGTGGTCATAGCTTACGAAGAATAGCTAATTAATTTTAGTGCAATTAAAGATGGCGAATGACATGTAAATTGGCGGGAAAGTGTGAATGTATTCGTAGAAGTTTGTAGATGATTATTTTGTAAAATATCCCGCGCTGCGTCTCGGGACACAGTGGATTCGCAAAATTATACATATGTATATGAAGAAATAAATTTATGTGAGACCATAATTACTTTATGATTGTTTTATTTTTACCACACAGTTTCATAAAAAATGAAATGTTCTAAAAATCCACTAGCCTAAGGTAGCACAGGATAGTACTCGAACCCACAACCTTTCGCAATCCAGACGACTACTACGACCATAGAGCTACCCGAGACCCAACAGAACAGACGAATTTTTCAACTTTTAAGTTGTTTTTATTGTTGCGTTTCTAATAGAAGTGTATATCAAACAGCCGAAAACAAATATTTTAAAATTTCAACTTTCAATTATGATGTGTTTTTATCTGGTCAAGAATTGACAGAAAAATCATAATCCTACAACCGATACATATGCAATCTATAACTTTTGTTATAATTTGACCTTATAAACTATGTCAAAAAATAAATACCTTTGAAATGTCATTGACACGCCGTTATTACGTTAACGTTAGCAGAATTGAAGTCCGTCTAATTCACGTTGAATATAATGTCATCCGCAAATCGGTGCAATGAATACGTATTGCCGGACGTTAATTATTATACCGCAGTAGCGTATCCCGTGAGATTGGCTTCTATTGTGGCTACAGAACTATAATTTTGCATTTAGACTTGAGTTAGAATTAGGGTACGTAGTTTAAATCCTATCATCCTATCACATTAAAGTGTCAATAAAAAACCCTACCTATTTTGATCTTGCGAAAAGTATAGTGGAAATAAATTAGTTTTCGGATTCTCTATGACCATATCCCGGCATATTTTTTTTATATTGTGGCAAAATTAATGATCGCTACGTACTTAAACGGGAAGCGAAACTACCAGGACAACATATCTAGTAGTCATCATGGGCATACCCACGGGCAAGTTGGGGCTGACTTTAAGCTAAAATTACCTGTATGAAGTAACAAAATTAAATATTATATTATATAATTTATTAAAAAACGAAATTTTAACTATAGTTCGCCAGAAACCTCGCAAGTTATTATTAAATAACAGTTTTCATTCAAATAATTTTTAATTTCTATTATTTATAGAGTCGTTACTTTTGTCCCAACCCCATGTAAATGCTAAAGTACGCTTATGCTAGTGATGCCACTCGGTATTTATCATAAAATAATAAAAAAATATGCGTATGTGGAACAAAATATGAGTTCCTACCTTTTTTGCACACTTAAGAATTAAGAACCAGCATTTTTTCACATAAAAGCGTTAATATTCTTCACTGCTCTTATCCATAAATAAAAGGTTCCCAAACACCAGCCTTTTACTCGACGCGGCCACTAAAGAATGTTTTCTAAAAGCAGGCTAAAATATGATTAATTACATTTTGCGTTTTACTGAATCGATAGGCTGTATGTTTAAATCATCGGCTTAGTCCCGAGTAGCCGCCATATTGGCTGCCCGTTGCCGCGCCTTAATCCTCCCATAAATAACTGACTACCCGCTTGTCTATGGTTAAAAGAAAAGGTCACAATAAACGCTTATGAAATTAATAAATAAGTATTTAAATTAATTTATTAAAGACTAAATAACGTTTAATTAGTTTTAAGTTTTTATTACTAAATACAAATCACAAAATTTAAAAAAGGAATTAAAACATAATTCAGTGGAATCAACATTGATTGTAGATAAGAATTTCACCATAAATGACTAAAAACAAAATGTTTCGAAATGAAAGTAGACAAAAACAAACTAATGAAAAGGCAACATACACACTTTCGCATTTTAATAGTTATTAGTACTCCTATACTCCATTCATTATAGCATTAGACAGAATGAAAATATGGTTCTTTTTATGGTATACTAGTGGACGCCCGCGACTTCGTCCGCGTGGAAGTCGGTATCCCGTGGGAGTGAGAAGTTTTCCCAGTAAAAAGTACCCTATGTGTTATTCTGATGTATAACCTATATTGCTGTAAAGTTTTATCCAAATCCGTCCAGTAGTTTTTTCGTGAAAGAGTAACAAACATCCATACATCCATACTTACAAACTTTCGCCTTTATAATATTAATAGGATACTTTGTGACAAAATGTCAAAAATCATGTTACTCTTAAGACTAACGGCTAATTTGCTACATATCCACTTAAATACCAGCTGCTATACTTAACCGTATTCTTTTAAGCTATATATTTAACAAATTTATGAGTATTTGACTGGCTTAAAACATTTAATAATTTTTACAATAAAAAATGTTCATCTTAAAGAACCTAAAGAAGCAGGGTTAGATAGTTTCGGCATGATTCTCATGTCACTATAACTTTACCAAATTTAAAACGTTGCCTAATCCCTTCAAACGTTTCAGCAGTACAGCTTTTTAATTTTGTCAGACTATGATGTATTCATAATTGTCAAAATACTTTTCTGGGATTGTTATTCATTGTGAATGCTACTTACTGCCTTTCTTGTTGTTTTGTCATTTTCGGTGATTGAGTAATTACTGTTTTATTGTTGTTTTCTTATAGTTTGTTGTTAAGTTTTGCTAAATTGCGATTCCGGTGCAGGCCCGAGTGAAAAAGCAGGCCCTACAAAAATTACACTCTAAGCCCCCATGCCTACCCTCAACCATTGACATTTCAGGAAGTTTTTCCAATGTCTTCATCAATAGTCTAACTACACTTACAATTAGAATGATCAAAACAACAGATAGATAGTTTCAGTTTTAGTTCCATTTTGGCTTGGGAGTGAAAGATGAATTTATAAAATGCTGGCCTCATCTCAACCCCGAGGTATCGTAAAAAATGGAAAATTGCCCATCTCTTTCAGACTACCTAATGTTCAAAGTTTTTAACAAAACCAATATATATTTTTTTTTAATATCTTGAAAATAAAATGTTCTGAACTGCTGCTTCTATGACCCTCTTTTTTCTAATGTTATAATGAATGGAGTACCTATAGATAGGTAATTTTCGTATATTGCAGATCGCGTGCAATCATGTTTTAACAAGTTTTTGTTAAATAACCCGAATTGTGCATTCCTGTATCAATCGGCTGGTTCATATAATACTTGTTCTTACTTTTTGAGTACGATTAAGCGTCAAATAAGATAAACGAGTTTATGCATGTTTGTGTTATTCCTGTCGGTGCGTAATGTTTATTTTATTTTCATTTGCGGTTTCGCGCGTGATAGATAAACAGTACCTATTTAAGATCAAAACTTACGTATTTCACAAAACAAAACAATGTCGGTAACAAAACAATAAGTAAAAAAGAAGAGACGGCAATACTGTGTGGAATATATTCAATTCGGATTCATTGAAAATCCCACAAACCTTCGTGCCTTCTATGTCGAAAAACATTTTCGAATGAAGCAATGAAGCCTTCAAGACTGCAATATCATTTGAATAAAATGCATCCAGATAAGAAAGACAAGAATATGGCATATTTTCAAGACCTATAGAAAAAGCATAATACTCAGCCAAGTGTAACAAAACTATTTTCGGTGGCAGCTTAGCAAGATGACGACGGTCTTCGAGCTTCGTATAGTATCTCTTTGTTAGCTGTTCAAAAAGACAAACCAAATTCCAGATGTCCTTGCTGTACATTGCGTTATTCATAGACAACTTTTGGTCGCTAGAAACAAGTGAACGATTTCCATCACTGCAATATGTCATCAAAACAGCTGACAAGATCCGCAACAGCTCTTTGAATGACAGATTATTTCATCAGCTTTGTGTTACTAATGACGAGGATTTTAGCCGTTTGCTGTTTCTTACTGAAGTTCGTTGACTATTAAGAAGCAATTGTCTGACTCGATTGTACAACCTGTTTAACTCTGAGATAGAGTTCTTGGAAACTTAATATACAGAGTTGCACAACGAGCTCATTACATCGCTTACATGACAGACCTGTATAAATAGTTGAACGACATGAATATCCGATAAGATCCGCAACAGCTCTTTGAATGGCTACAAGGCGATGAACTAAATTTAATTAAAACATAAAAACGTCGTTGCTGCTTTCGCAGCCAAACTGCTTCTACACAAAATAATATAGACAGACTTAAGTATCACAATTTTCCGAATTTATCAAAATCCTGCAGTAAAGACGATTTATTTGCCTAAATACTGCCAACATTTGGAAAACCTCCATATTGACTTCAACGAACGATACAGAACATTTTGAATTTGGTAATACGAGACTGGGTATTGGATTAGTTTTCAAATGAATTAATTAGTTTGAAGTTATAGTGGTTTTTAAGTAGGTGAAAAAATGAAGGCACTAAAAAATAATTTATTCTCAAAGTGGGCAGTAGACAATACAAATTTGGGAACCCTGCTCTAGAGTAAAGGGTGCCCAACGTACCTACATAAAAATAAAATTAGTAAAAATGTATAATCCTACTACTATTATAAAGGTGAAAGTTTGTAGGTCTAGTTTTTAGGATATTCTTCCTTCTGCACACAAAAGCTACTGAACGGAATTTGGTATTTAAGTTATTCTGGACTGAAAAAAATAGGCTTTTTATCACATTAGACAGATGCCTAGAGATAAAAAACCACTTTTGAAAAATTTTGACCATCGTTTGAGTTTATTTAAGTATATAATGTGTATTGAATCATTATCAAAATAAATATACTTAATAGGCTAACAGGGGCACAGCATTTACTTATTGCCAAAAAATGTGACGTTAATAAACATTGACTTTCAGGCCAAATGAATTCGATGAAATTTTACGACGCTGTTTTTGAGAAAAGAAAATAAAATATCTATCTATTATTGATTTTCCAAATATTATTTTCGTTTGTATCTAATACGAGTTATCAGCTATTTTTATTTCATGTATTCATATATTTATTCGTTTTACAGAAATGAGCTAAAGTACATATGTCAATATAAAAATGTATTTCCTAAAATTTCAAGAAAAATAGTCATTCAAGGATTTAGTACCATAGATACAAAATTTCCTTTTCGGAGAAATAGAATATGCCTTCAGATGTCAAGTTAATTCATACGAGTAGTATATTTGTCTTTCAACGGTCACATAAGACTTTTTGTCGTTTTATTATCTAAGCTTTTGACATTGTCCATTTTTTCGAGTACTCTAGGAACTAACTCTTATCAGTAGATCTAAATACGAGTCTTTTTCAAGCAATACACATTTAAAGCTTCAAAAAACTTACTCGCATATCAAATTTAAATTATCTATTACATCTCACAAAATGAAGACAAATTTACACCTACAGCCTACCCGACTCAAAGGTTAAACGTATCGAAAGCTTCCCTTCAAAATAGACTCTGATTATTACTTCGCCTCTCTTTACCAATAAGAGAAAGTATTAGGACCTCATTGCCAATGCAAAATTAATTTAGGCAGCCGATACCATATGTAAATTTAATTGAACTCGAGGAAGTAGCTTTTACTTTCGATGTTTGAGAATTCACCCACTCGGAGATGCTGTGTATGTGGGAATCATGTTAAAACAGGATATTTTTTTGTTTTCATCCACCCCGGGGTAGGATTACGACGTTATGAGAGAAGGGAA